GGCGGGCGCCGCCGCGGCGCGCCCGGAGTCCTTCCTCAGGTACTGCGGGGCTGCATGCTCCCCATATGCCGGGCTGTGTGTGTGGTGTGTGTGTGTAGCGCCCTGCGATTCCTGCGGACCTCAGTGCTGTGCGAGGGAAGGCACCTCAGCACCCCTCGGTGCTGCAGAGCTCTCCTGAACCGCGTTGTTAGCAGTGTCGAGGCCTGGCTGGGGCTTCTGCAGCTTTCTTTGGCATGTGGGAATTAGGAAACGGAGGTTTCTGTTTCTGCCAGCTATGTTGAAGCACTGGTAGCTCTACAAAAAAAAAAGTAGAAGAGACGACCCGAATATAAAAGCTGAGGAGCAAGGCAGGGGAGGAAGGTAGTTACCTTTTCAAAACTCAAAGCCTGGATCTTAGATTTTTTAGATGTTCGTGCTATGCTGTTTACTTCATCAAAATTGTCTGGAGTGCTTAAATGTTATCAGGGTATAAGATGCAGCTATAGAAGAGTGGAATATTTTGTTCAGCTGCTACTCACAGGATGTGTAATGATGCTGAAAGTTAAACAACAGCAGTAACTGTTGAAAAGTGCTATTTTATAGCACCAAAATACCTAATCTAAAAAGAGCTGCAATACTGTGTGATTAACTTCATGGAAGGCGTAAGATGAATAGAAGGTAGTAAATTCTGTGAAATGCAAAATAAATAAAAAATTTTAACTGTTGTGCTTTTTAAAGCTCTTAATTTTTTCCTGCGTTTAGTGTGCAAGAGGGACTGGCTGCTGACTTCAGAGCGTTAACGAAGACTCTCTATGATTTGAGTAAAGCTCTGGGAAGTAATGTAGTTCTTGGTGGTCCTCTAAAAGAGCTGGTGATAGAAAATTTTGATGAAGAACAGATTTGGCAACAACTGGAGCTCCAGAACAGTGCAGTTCTCGATTTCTTCAAGAAATCCATTGCAAGGGATGCTGAGGATGAAGATCTTTCCCTTCTCTCAGACCAGGAAGAGGATGGCTCTGATGCAGAGACCAGCAGTGACAAGGAACTGGAAGACAACGTAATGGAAGCAGAAACTGCGCAGAAGAGTGTTTGTAAAAAAGATAAAACTAAAGCTAAAGAGAACCAAAGTAAACTCAGAGAAAGCATAATGCAGAAATGCAGTGATGAAGATTCTGATAATGACTTTGATATTGAAGCACTGAAGCAACAAATTAAACCAGCGAAGGAAACCACATTGAAAAAAATGGGAAGAAAATCTGTAGTGGATGATGAGTTTTTCAAGCTGGCTGAGATGGAAGCTTTTCTAGAACATGCAGAGAAAGAAAACAGGGAGGAGGAGGAGGAGGAGGAGGAAGATATTAATTATTTTGAAGACATCTTTTCAGATGATGAGGAGGATGAATCTGAAGAAGCTAAAGTCAAAGTAAGAATATAAGTAAATTAATTTTCCTAGCTCTCTTTTCCTTTAGATCAGAATCTGATATCCACTAGGGTGACTGTAAATTGTTGAAGTCTGAGTAGAAACCACCAGATTTAATTTGATGACTGATGATTAGTTCTGAAGCTTTACTTTAATAATATATTTGATATAAGTATCTGGTAACAAAGTGTCCTAATGTAGAAGATTTTACTATTCTACTGTTCCAATTTCTCTTGAGATGAGTCCTGGGTTTTTGCATGAATAAAGAGAGAGCTCATATGTCACAAGAAATAAGTGGCCTTGCAAAATTTCAGAATAGGTGATGAGCAAATGAACAAGATGCTTCACTCAGCATTGATGTCTGGCAGTTACAGATTACTAAGGTGACTGATGCAGAGCAAAGGGCTTTTGGCAACTTCTTCATCCAGGGGCATGGCTTTGTAACCCTGATTTAACTTAAGTTGCTGAGTATTTGTTTCGAAATGGTTGACAATTTGACTTCATAATCGTAGAGGTCTCTTCAAACCTTAATGATTCTATAAAAATAAATCTTTTATTATTTACTATTACCAGAGATTCTCATTAGCAAGTAATAACTACACCCAGGGTATAACGAAATGCATGCATTCCAACAAGTAGTTCGCAAAATTTGCTGCTCTTTGACTTCTGTATGTGTTAAAATTGGAAATGAATTTAACTTGTAGAATAATTTAAATACTTGTAATAGTTTTACTAAGATGCTTTACTACAGCTTAATGCTTCACTAAACTGACGTACTGCTATACAAATAATGCTATTCTCCAGGTGCTAAAGACTTCAAAAGACAGGATACCCTTAGATTTCTGTCAGTCTTAACAGTTTTATTTTGGTCTTGTTTGGTGTTTTTTCCTCCTCCCCTTCTTAGCCAATTAAAAGTTCTAGAGACCTGACATACAAAGATTTCTTTGATCCGGTTGATGGCAATGACGATTTAGTAGCTGATGATGTTGAATATGATCAGGAAGAGGAAGCAGACAGTGCTGTTGAAGAGCAGAATGAAGAAAGCATGTCTGAGTAAGTATATGCTTTATTTGCAGTTAAAATGTCCTTGTAATTTTAAACTGAAATGAAGTAGAAAAGAAGGTGAGACTTCCAAGCTCACTTCGGTCATGGTTTGCCATTCTGTTACCTGCTTTATGTTCATGGCTTGCATTGTTAACTTATTTAAAAAGTAATTTATGTACTTATCTTTTGAGTATTCTCTTGATATTTATTTGAATAAATCATTCAATGCCTGTAAATTTAGGGGTTTTTTTTAAAGTTATTTTTAATATATAGAAGTTTCCCTGGTATCCCCTGCCATTGGGTTTCTATGAAAACTGATTTTGTTTCTTAACTGTGAGTTAGTTGTAACCTGTAAACATCTAATGGCTGAAATATCTTAACGATAAAAATCATAGAAGCTTTTCAACTTTTGTTATATGAAATTTTAATGTTACAGGGTTGAGGATATGGATGAAATTACGATGGAGAATATGAGAAGTAAAGAAGCCTCTAAAAAAGTTACTTTTAGTTTGCCTGATGATAGCGAAACAGAAGATGTTACTGATATGCAATTAGAGAAGAGCATCAATCCCAGTGAAATAAAGTCTTCTTTTGAAAAGAGACAGGAAAAGGTAATTGTTTGAGGGTTGGGTTTTTGGGGTTTTTTTTTGCAATACTTCGAAACAGTGGCCAATACTTTTTTTTTTCTAATGGTTGTGTGATTTGTCCCGAGTCTGGCAAATATGAAAAGTCTGTTTACAAGTTATGAAAAAAGAAAAGAAGGGGCTTATCTACATCAGAGATATATGCAATCATATATTCCCTCATCTCTATGTGAGGAGGAATTAGAAGTACCTGAAATAACTATTAATACTTTTGAGCTCTATGTTTGAAACTTCTTGGGGAAATTACGTTTTTCAGATGAGCAAAAAAATAGAAAGTTTAGAAGAAGAGTTGTTAGAGGAGAAACCTTGGCAGCTTAAAGGAGAAGTGGCTGGACACAAACGACCTGAAAACAGCCTTCTAGAGGAAACAGTCCTTTTTGACCATGCAGTCCGAATGGGTAAGTAGTGGGAGAGGGCTTTTGTGAAAGCATGTTGCATACCACGTTGTGTTTTCTTCCCTTTGACCTTGCTGAAAACACCTGTGATTCACGAGCAGGGCAAGAGAACGCTAAGTTAAACTTCTTGGTGTGTTTTTTGAGGTGGTGCATTTTCATGATGGAGACTACAGGAAACTATATTCTTTTCTGTTAATTCTTAACTGAACTCAAAGTTCATTAATTCAGTGGCAGATTTAGTCATTTATAAGCCTTGCATAACATGATTAGTCTCTTCAAGATAGAGGAAAACATTATTTGCTTACTTTACCTTCAATTATTACATTTTTGGGAAGGCTTTTTCTGGGTTTTTTTTTCTTCATAGAACAAAAAGTACTTCTTGTTAGAACATAAAAATACATCTTGATGGAGAAATGCTAATCTTTAAATTCTCTTTCACCTCTCAGCTCCTGTGATCACAGAAGAAACTACTTTTCAGCTTGAAGATCTCATTAAACAGAGAATACTGGATGAGGTTAGCATGACCTTACTTGTTTCTCGCTATTTTGTTCATGGACTTGATTCACAGGGCACATTTCAAGGATGAGTTTGAAGCTCTTAAAATGTTACATGTAGAATTATCTTAATTAATTTCTGCAACTGATTTTATTACTCTGTTGCCGTGAAAAATGCGTCTTTAGATTTCTAAAGAGGGCTGTTTTTACATGCCTGTTATATGCTAGGTTTTGGTGCGCTTCAAAAAAAAAGTGAGGATAAAACTATAAGTAGTAACTAATGCCAGTCTTTAAATTTTGTCTATTACCATGACTGTAGAGCTCTGAGCATTCTGAATACTAACCAAAACTCAGTTGTTTACTTCGTTTTTCTTAAAAGCCACTGATAGATTTGTATCCCACAGCTTGTTGACGCTTACATTTAGTTGAATTAAAAAAAAAGGTACATATGGGGGACAGTATTTAAATACTTAAGAAAATTATGCTTCTGTTATTTGTTATAAAATTTTTGCCCTGACTGACTAAAAATAAGCCCACAAGCGAGAGCTGTACGTCTTTTATTCCTTTCTTTTTTTTTTTCCCCAAATGAAACTGTGAGACTTAATGAGTTCCTTGGATGCCACATGCATGAACTACTTTGTGTGTCAGATACGTAATATGAAAAATGTTCTAAATAAGCTATAGCACCTGATATTTGACAGTAGTTGGATTTGGTCATTAATTTATTACTTTCCCAGGCATGGGATGATGTAGTACCGAAAGAAAAACCAAAAGAGGATGCTTTTGAGTACAAGAAACGTATCACTTTGGATCATGAGAAGAGTAAACTGAGTCTTGCTGAGATCTATGAGCAAGAATACATGAAACTTCAGCAGGTAACATAAGTGGTGCCTTTCCTTTTGGTGTGAAGTTCACACCACATTATCTTACATGTTCATTTGTATACTGCTAACTCTGCTTTCACCTTTGTGGAAGTGCTTCAGTCTTTCTCTGAGTGCTCTGAATTGTATATTGTGGTGTGATCAGTCTTGCTAGAGTAAAATAGCTTTATGAGTGGTGTTGCAGTAACATTGTGTTGTTAATGCAGCAAAAGACTGAAGAGGAAGAAAATCCTGAACACAAAGAAATTCAGGAGATTATGGATTCACTGTTCCTGAAGCTGGATGCGCTTTGCAACTTCCACTTCACACCCAAACCTGTAAGTACATAAGTTTCATAAAGTTGGGTGTGTTTTCTCTCTCTTTGAAACTAGACACTTTAAAATATGTTTGGGAATTGGAACATAAAGTAATCATTCGGTGTTACTGAGCTTGTTCTTATTTCATATTAAATGCACTATAATTGTCTCTAAACAAAACCAGCTATATAGCATCTTCAGGTAGCTGTAAGCTGCTGTGAGATGGTGTGCTCAGTCCTGAACATGTTTTCTTATTTTCTAGCCTGTGCCAGAAGTTAAAATAGTTTCAAACCTTCCTGCTATAAGTATGGAAGAAGTAGCACCTGTTGCTGTTAGTGATGCTGCTCTCTTAGCACCAGAGGAGATCAAGGTAAATACAACTACAAATCACATAAAGAGCTGGAGAGGCTCTGTATTGTTGTTAGAACGACTGTGCTGGCTGCCAGATCAACCGGAGAATTTATCTACCTACCCCCTACCCTGAGTTCCTCACCTTGTGGACCTTCTTGCCTAGCATTTTAGTGTTGGTTGGTGTTGTGTTGTTTCGGTTTGGTTTTGTGGGAGTTTATTTTGGTTTTTTTTTTTTTGATGAGGGGGAAGTGTGGTGGTTTGTGGTTTGGGTTTTGTTGGTTTTTTTGGTTGGGTTTTTTTTTTAATGAAGAAGGGGAAAGGGTTAATTTTATTTGACTGTGCTAGGCTACAATATTATGCTTTGGCTTTGTTCTTTATTATGATGTGATGGTAATTATTTTCTCAATGTATATATGGGTATTTGGAAGGGGAGAGCTAAATGATAATAGGGAAGAGCAATTAGCGTGCCTTCAATCAGTTGTACAGATCTCGCTTCCTAACTTTTGCCAGTTTTTGGGCTTTGTCTTAAAGCAGCATTGCCCTGGTGAAACACTTGAAATAATGGAAATGCTAAGACAGATTTGAGTAATGTGAAGTGAGTCTTTTCTTTTGCACGCTTATGGATCTGGAGATCTTGTTCTCTTTAGGAAAAGAACAAAGCTGGTGATGTAAAAACAAATGCGGAAAAGACTCCCACGGACAAAAAACGGGAACTAAGAAAGAAAAAGCTTCGTAAACGTATGAAGCGAAGAGAGAAGGAGAAACGTCAAAAGCTTCTTGAAAAGATGAAACCAGAACAAGGCACGAAACTTAGCAAAAAAGCTGCTGCAGCAAAACTAGAAAAGCTTACAAAAGAAGGCAAAGCATCTCTGCTCAAGGTAAGACTGCGCTAAGTAGTCCTGTATGACCTGGAGCTTCCCAGCTAAAGAGTATTAAAATCCCAAGGGTAGAGAATTCATAGCTAGAGGGAGCAAAGGGAATTTTATCACAGAGAACTACGAAGTGTAGGGTTTGTTTCCCTCACGTCCCTCTTGGCTCAATTACAACTCCTAATGTTTTTCCATCCCTTCAAAAATTCTTGTGTGCAGGTGGTATATCATCTTACCACCCAAACCTGGTTACCTTATTTATGTCTGAGCAAGTACAAAAGGTAAATGTAGCTGCTGGAGAAAGGTAGGAAGACAACATGGAAAGGGCAGAAGCATACTTGTCAGCCCCCTTCCCCCCCTTACTTTCCCCTGTACTCTTTTGAACTACAGTTTTGGAAGGACACTTCTAATCCATAGTTCTGTCTTATTCCAAGTAGTGTTGAATGTCTTTTTAGTCCTGGTTTTGCCGATTATCCTGACAGTGTGATGTCAGTAAAAATACAACTCTGGTTGCACTCTGCAGTGACCCCTGTGTTTATAAAGCGTATTGATTTAGATCTTACTGCTTTAATTATTTATATCATACCTAAATGACTGTTGAAACCTTCAGAAGCTTACTCAGAGTATGAAATAGATTTGAATTTGTAAGCAACCTAACCTTTAGATAATATGAAAAATATGAAAAAACTGTGTGGTACAGTTACTTTATATCAAATTGTATTCAGAAAGCAGAAATTGTTTGCATTAGATACTACCTTTTTATTTCAGAGTGTTCACACGGTGGTGTTCCAGCAAATAGTAACACTTGTGCTCTTATTTCCTGCATTTCAACTGTTCCACTTGATGAAGGGGGACTGCTTGCATGTGTAATTGAGGATGAGGTTTCTATTGAGGTGTTTCGTAGCTCTGAGCGACTAAAGCTTTTTCAAAACAGAATATTTGTTTCTAACTTTGTAGTTCTTTTTATGGAGCCTTTTCTATAATCTCATCAAGTTGCTTTTGTTTTGCTTTCTACAAAACAGTAGACTTGTGGACCACCTTTGCCTTATAAATTAGATTTTAGAAATCTCTGGAATTTTTGTGTTAGTAACTAATGGGAAAAATAACTCGATTACTTCTAAAACGTTTGTGCTTACCTTTTCAAAAGGAGAGCAGAACACAAACTATTGAGACAGAGTTGTAGCTCATGATGTACAAGGCTCATGATGTGCCTGTTCTTCCATGCTAATTGTTAATTAGAAAAGGAATATGCTCTTTACTTCTTTAGACAGCAGAAGTGGTATAAGAATGCAGTGAAAAACAGATTTTGAAACTAAAATAAATCTTCTCTTTTTTTTTTTCTAAAATACCATTATCTGTGCATAACTGGTATCATGGTAGTGTTTTACATTTCATGGTTATAACAAACATATTGTCCATTTCAGGATGAAGGTAAAGACAAGGTCTTGAAGTCGTCCCAGGCCTTCTTTTCTCAACTACAAGATCAAGTAAAAATGCAGATCAAAGATGCAAACAAGTTAAAGAAGAATGAGAAGAAGCAGAAGGCACTCTCTGTCCATAAACTGAAATTGTAATTTACCTTTTTATACATGTTGCATCTTGTATATATTAAAATGTTTCTACATGAATGCTGAATTTGAGTAGATTTTATTCTGTGTTGGTCTTTAAACTGTTCTGTGAACGTTGGAGGTGATATAAAGACACTTTCCTTTAAGTTTTACCTGTATTTCCTGACACAGAACTCTGATACTGTCTTTTTATTCCAAAAAGAAAACTTCTTGCAATGGGCAGACATGAGATCACAGAATACCTGGTAGTTGTGCTTTGACTGTACTGTCTTGTTAATCCATAGTACATAGCTGTTCTGTCTGCTGCTGTAATAGCTCTGTGTATTGCAGGAATAACTGCATTTAGTGAAGAACATCAGCTGTATCCTGGCAGTATAAATTGGAAATTATCCTTCGAAATCATGGGTTTTCAGACAGGGAGGACACAAGCAGTTTAAGCCTGCACTAAGCAAATGCTATCTCTTAACTTAAAGGATATTTTTCAAGATGGAAATCCTTTGGTATTTACCCTTTTCTTGGCTGAACAAAAAAAAAGTTCCAGCTGGTGCTGGTGCTTTTTACCCTTTGTTGTTAAAGGTAATTTTTAATTTGGAGAGGGCTGGATGTTTAAAATAACGTGAGGGTTTTAGAGTGGTGAACCCAGGCTCCGCAATCCGCTCCCCAGGCCTGCGCGCCCCCATCGGCGGTGCATTGAGCTGGCCTCGCTGCGCGCGTAGGGCGGGGCTCGCCGCTGGGGCGGGGTTGAGCAGGGCGCAAAGCACGGCCGCCCCGCACTCCCTCAGGGTC